GCCAGAGAGCTACTGGCTCAGGGGACCACCGGGCCCACACAGCAGTGGTTGTGCAAACCGGGGTCCAAAGTCCAACTGCAACCAGTCCCAAATGACGTTGCTCAGCGACAATACCAGGGCCGATACCTGTGCTGGCAGGCGGGAAGCTGAACACCTGTCAGTGTGCCCTCACCCTTACAAAGGCTGCCTGCCTGCTAGGTTACATTTGCAGTATCAGAGAAAGGGATTATATCGCTCTACCTGGCACGCACGAGTCCACAACCACATTGCTACGTCCAATTCGGAGCCATGCAACATAAGAGAGTAGAAAGAGCAAGATGAGCAGAAGGCCTCCAAGCTGGTGAACAGAGCTGCAGGTGGACAGCTAAGGCAGCATGTCATCTTCTCAAAGACAAAAGGCTACCTGCTGTCTTTAACCATGGGAAGGGTAGTTGTGTAAGGCCAGACAGAAATAGATTCCTTTCAGAGGTGCAAAAACGAGTGGTAAGCGGCAGCAGTCCCACCTTCCTTCAAGGGAAACTCCAAGTTGCTGCAAGGGAAACATTTTTCCCAGTGCACATGGTTGAGCGGTGAAACAGGGAGCCAAGGAGAGGCTGTTGCCTTCACCAGGGATACTCCCAAGTGCTGCACAAAGGCTAAACTTTGGAGTACAGGGTCTGACTGGAAGTCCTCCAGAGCCCCTCCCAACTTAGACTCTTCTACCATGATACTAAAGATGTTCATAATTGCTTTATGATCACACGTATTCAACTTGACTCAAGAAACTTTGCTGAAAAGCATTTGTGTTGGGCCTCAAGGAAACCCGCAGAGACAACCTCTGCCTCAGATCTTCCAGGGCAACTGAGGAAAGAACTTGACTACACAAAGAAATAAAAACAGAATGTATTTTAATGGCTGTTTATACTGCAATTCGAGGCAAGAACTGGAATAACTACACTGCATCCTGGCCAGGCCAGCGTTCACTACTTAAGCCCAGAACGATTTTACAGTTAATCACTTCTACCTATGTACTGTATTTCTCCAGATTTTGGTACTTCACTACTTATTTCTGGATTCCTTTGCTGTCAGTAAGCATCTGTATTATACTTTCCACTATAGTAAGCCATTAGAGCTGCGCCCCTCCAGGGCAGGAGTGGGGGAAACACAGAGAAAAATGATAGAGAACTCTTGATTCCTCTGGATTTTTAAGTTTTATTTTCCACTTCAGAACAAAATGAAAATTCTACTTTTCCTTTCCAGTCCCTCAAATTGGATTTTCTTGGTGAAGTACCTAAATACAAGGTTTAGAAACACTCTCACTATTGAAAGGGCAGAGTGACTTTAAATCCAAGAGAATTTCTTTAGAGGTAAGAGAAAACAGTTTAAAAAACAAAGACACAAGCTCACAATTGGTAAGTGATCTTTAAGATTTTTACACAAGAAAAAACATTCACTTTTATAGTTCACTTCTAGTATTGCCATGCTTTTTGTACTATCTCTTAAAATCACTTCTACTTCAGAAAAAAAGTAGGTAAGTGGATTTCTTATGCAAAAAGCAAACAAAAACATAACCTGTTTTTAAAGAGGTCTTTCAGATAAAGTATTTAAGACTAACAAATTTTACACCTCTTCACTTTATCAGTTTTGCAAGTCAAAAGCAGGTTACAATGATCTTCCCTGACTATATTTGGTCTCACTAAGGAAATTTCACGTTAATATCTTAGTAAAAAAATCAAGTCAGTTAAGGAGTACATCACACTTCTGAAAAGAAAAGAAGTCCTAAGGCTCAACACAAGATTAAAAAAAGTTTGAACTATTAACCTTATATTTCACCTAAGGCTAAGTGTTACCATAGCAACCATTACGGAACAAAAATACTTCAAAGTAGCCAAGCAAATTCTATTCCCCTATAAAGGAAGTTTAGACTGACTTTTGCAAATGGGGGGCATAATCTCGAAAACAATTATGTGAATGGTTAACTCTGCACAAGAAGATACCTTAAACTTCAGATAGATGAAAGTTAACACATGTGATTCTATGATCAGGCTTTTACTACAAGGAACTGATAACACAACTAAGATTAAGCTGATAATATAACCAAATTTAGCAACAATTTTATTCCAGGCTTTCCTTGTGAATGAAAGGCTTTTAATTACAATAAAGACACCCAACACCAACTATGTTATCACAGTTGGGGCGTTGGCTTATACAACTCTCACCCTTTGTTCCTCCCCTACACCACCTCCTCGGCTGCGCTGGGGTTTGACATATCAGTTCACAGGGACAAAACAAGCTGGATCAATGAACTGAACCTTGTTTTTTAACAACAGCACTGCCAAAAAGAAAGTTACTTACAACTGCGAGCAGCTTCCTGCTCTAGGTTACCATGCAGCTACGTGAACAGTTGAACAAGCACAAGCGAAACAGTGACACGAGGGCCGTGTTAGCCAAGACTGCTGCCAAGAGAAATACTAGTAAAATTACAGCCTAACCTAAACCTGCATCTACCTGTTCGTAACTCGCTTGGACAAATAAGCACACTGAAATTAAGAGGGGCAGGGAGGTACCCAACAGCCTTAGATGAGCCTGTGCTTTCGATCTGTTAAGCAAGCTATATATGTCATGATCACGCTTTGATGAGAAGCTTAAAAGTCATTTTAATTTACTTCATTACCACCCTTCAAAAGTGAGTTCACTAACTGTTTACAAGATCTGCTGCAACTATGTCTGGAAGAAGTGTGGCGGGTAGAACACACTACATTTAACCTAGGACAGAGGCTGCAGTGTATTATCTAAAAAAGTCAGTATTTATCATGAAGTTAGAAAGCTGAGAGAACTGCCTTGAACACTGTATAACTCTCCTAGGAAAAATAATAACTCAAAGCAAAAAAACATTTCAGATTTAGCTTGTCCTTATTTGCCCTGGTCCTTCCTTACATGGGTACCTTTTGTTTGCTACTTTAGGAACAGGCCGTGACTGAGTAAGATCCATTGTTTTTCAATAAGCAAGTCTAGAAACCAGTTGTGTAATTATCCCTGACTTAACTATCCTTTTTTTTTTTTTAAACTAAGCTCTGAATTCTGTAAAAATCCTAATAAATGTTACTATAAACTATTAACTATTTTAGATCTCATCTTTTCATTCCAAGGCAATATATTTATTACTGGTTTAGATTTCTATTTAAAAAAACTACTTTTGCATAACTGGAAATTAAGAATATTTACCTCATTTTGAATTAATATGTATATTTGGTAGGTTTGTGTATTCAGGAACACTTTTATAGTGGTCAAGCTACACTAAGTTAAAAATACATTAAGTTCTTATAATGCATATTACTAATCTTTACAAAAATATTTACCATGAGATTATTTTTTACTCATTTCTTCTTAAAACTTTGATACATAACACACCAGCAAAAATATAAGCATATTCAGTTAAGAAATACCTACTTTGGTAGGTAATGAGAAGCAAATTAAACATTATGGAACAATATTTCCATATCTGTCTCCAGATTATATTAGATATTTCCAATGTTCACACCCAACACTTATTATAAAACAATTCAATGCAACTGAAAGGGTAAAAAAATGCTGAAAACAGGTACAGATCTGAAAAAAAGTCAAAGAAAACCCGGGTTACATAAAAGGCTGGGTTCTACACGAACTTACATGTGACAGACTCCAGTTCATGTTTAGCAACAGTTTATAACAATATAATAAAATAATAACTTTTTTTTTTTAAATATAGATTTCTCAAATGGAAAGAAAGTCAGAGTTTATTCATTCTCCAAGTTTCATACAGGGAAGAATTTTCCCCAGGAACTTGCTCCTATACAATCACTCTTTAAAATTACTCTGGAATATATCCAAGAGTGTCAGAAACAACAAAAACAGCCCGAGAAAAATATTTTAAACATATCATAGAGACCAAACACACCACAGTAAGCCTGTACTAAAATAAGTACCACACCAAAATATTAACCATTACAGGTGTGTACTTCTGCTGAGCCAAAGCCTCCTATTCCAAGAGCAAAGCACATTTCGGAGCTTATTTTCCTTTCAAAACCATTAACTCCATCAGCACTAAAAAAAAACCAGAAAACAAAACTATGAAAACTCCACCAAAATCGGGAACGTACGTGCCTCTTACAAGTTTGAGGGATTCTAGAAAGCTAAACAAAGCCCCTGTGATCCCGGGCTGCTCACAAAACACGGGTGGAAGCGCGCAGCTCTTGCTGCAGCCTGTAGCCTGGCACTAGGCCTCAAAAACAAGGAGGCAGCCGGGGAGCCAGAAAGTGAGCAACTCGCTAGCAACGCACCCAGGGAAGCCTTTCCCCTTCCTGCCAAATAGTGATCCGCCAAGGAAGTCACCCAGCGCAGCGCCCGCGCTCACCCTCGCCCAGGAGCGCGGCTCCTTCCCGCTCCCTCACACCTCCGCCTGGAAACCCGCCGGGCTGAGCCGCCAAGGAACGTCCAGGAAGAGTGGAACTCTGGGGCGAGCGGAAAAACGAGCCGCTACGGGAACCCAGAGCGGCTCCCCTACGTCACCTCTGCAGAAAGCACCGACGTGATTCTCCCCGGCGAAAGCGTTTGCGCGCAATGGTCGCGCAGCACCGCATGCAGAGCGCAGAGAGAAATCATCTGAGCCGCTCGTACCTTTATGTAAATAATACTACTAGATACTGTACACAACAGATAGTACAACAGACGTTCCAACGGTGAGCTGAACCTCCCGTGTAAAAAACCTAAATGTCACATAAAATGTAGGAAGAGCAACAGGTTCACTGTTGAAACCTGACAGACACCCCTGAGCGAAGCCTACAGAATGAGGCTGTTTGATAAAACTTAACTGCCAGCAAACAAAGCTAATCATTCCAAAATTAAATGGGAACTAAAGCAAGCTTGCTTAGCTGGCAGAAGCAACCCATAGACAAAAAGAGAACCTGGGCAGCATTTTCATCAACTTAAAACGCAGAAATGTTCTAAGCTACAACTGAAGATCACCAAAAAGTCACACTTACATCGTCTCTCCAGTCTTAGCAACATGACAAAGAAACTGATCCAGTATTGGACACACTTCCTTCTTCCCTCTCTTCTCAAAATCTGTCGGTACAAGAAACGCAACAAAGAGAATGGTAAAAGAAGATAGGACAGAACAAAAATTCACAATTAGCGATTTACTTGTTGTAACAATCAGAACAGCTCCCACAAAAACAATTTCACGCTTTCACAGCGCTTTAGCTGTTCCCAAGAGCTCCACCAGCTTCCCAGCCCTGTAAAACACTGAATAGTCTTCGTGTGGGGAAACTACGTGCATCTGAGCAGCAAAAAGTTGATTTGCAACTTCTTTTGAGCGGCTACAAGAGAGAAAGCGGCTGACTTCCTCAGCTGCATCCAGCGAGGGAAGCCAGGGGAGAAGAGGGCTGGAGAGGGAGAAAAAGCCAAGGCAGCGGCGAAAGCCGAGGGAAGGAAGGCGGGCGGGGGGGCAGAG